TATGAGCCATGATGCCATTGAGTGCTACTGAGGGCAACATAGTGAGACTCTGTCTCAAAAAAAAAAAAAAAGACAGGATAATGTAGGATATTGTAAAAGCTTTCTTGATCATGTTTAGTAGGTTCACTTTATTATAAAAAGAAATCATTTTTCTAAACAAGCTTTTATCACGAATTGGACAATTTTTTAAAAACTCAGCTAAACCTTTACCATGGATGGAAGTTACCACTAGTGATATAAAGAAGTTTGTAAGTTTGTTGATAGTGATGGGAAAAAAACAAAAAATCACATTGGCGAGATTACTGGTCAGTGGACCCTTTTCTTAAAATACCAGTATTTCCTAAAACTATGACCAGAATGAGGTTTGAGCAAATCTTTACATTTTTTCATGTTAGTGATAATTCACAAGCTACATCTAGTGAAGACAGACTTCATAAAATTAGGCCTCTTTTGTGATACTTTATTCCAAAATTTTAGTCTTTGTATACCTAAGTAGGAGTTATTCCTAGTTGAAGCAATGGTACAATACAGAGAAAAAATTAGTTTCATCTTACTTTCATATTCAATTACAGAATAATAGCTGGTGACATGGGATAGCTTCTGTGTAAAATTTCCATTCAACAATGTGTTAAAAAGACCATGGAGTGGGAAAAGAGAAAAGGTTTTAAGACTTCCATCCTCCCTCATCAGAAGAGACAGGAAATCTGTCCACATATACAGCTCACCACAGTTATAGCCTACAAACAACCAGCAACTGAGAAAACCACCATACTAAAGATATCTATAAAAGGCATCCATCCAGAATCTACATCACCATTAGAGCACTCACAAACAAAACCAAAGGTTTTTACCCAACATGTGCTGCAAACATACCCATATGGGCATGGGGCGGGTATCTAAATAATAAAAAATCCAAAAATAAGAAGCAACAGCTACTCCAGATGAGAAGGAATCAGTGAAAGAAAGAACTCTGGATGCATGAAAAATCAGAGTGAAAGGATACCCCCAAAAGGTAATGACAGCTCTCTAGCAATGGATCCCAACCAAAATGAAAATATTGAAAT